TATATATATATATATATATATATATATATATATATATATATATATATATATATATATACACGTGTGTGTGTGTGTGTATGGTGGCAGCCATCTTGGATTTTGACACAGCAGCTCAGTTTTTGCACTACTTGATCTTTCAATGTAACCAGCCAAGAAGCGATCATATCTGGAACATGTCTTTTTTTTTTTTTCTGAAAATGGTGATCAGATAAGCTTTTAAAGGCTTCTGTACTGGATTAAACTCCCAATGTTTTTAGAACCAGAACAGTTTTCTGGTCGGAAGTTTTGAGCAGAACTAAGTGCTATGATTTAACTTATATTAAAGGCGTTTGTTTTTGTCATTCTCCAACTTGAACCAAACCCAACTCAAACAGCATCAATTAACAAAGGCGACTTTGTGCTTGTGTTATGCTGACAAAAGTAACAAAGTTTTTCTATATTGCACTCGAGTGGCATGTCCTATTTAACATAACATTTGAAAACATCTTGAAATATATATATATATATATATATATATATATATATATATATATTAATCAAACTAAAGCAAAAAAGAATACTAATCCAAGTTAGCCCTGTCATCCAGATGACATCCAGTTAAAAAAAATAATAAAAAAATAAAAAAATCACCGAGGTAACAGTTGTTCAAAAAATACATAACAAATATCTGTAATATTTTCCAATTCAGCCATTCAAGTGAGACAAATCCATATTTTGTTCTTTAGCTCAAAAAATTTAATCAATATTTTGTTGACTGGTTGGCTCTAACAAGCTCTGGCAGATTGTTGATGTCAATATTAGATGCTTGTGGCCATATAAAGCTCAATATAAACTGACGGACAAGAGCTAAAAATCACCAGCAAGCAGCAAAAAGCCTCAGAATGGTTTCTGTTGGTGAAAATAGATCAACGCACAGTTCATGTGCTTATTATTTAAGTCATACAAACAAGTTCAGACTGTCAATTCTTGGCCATTTCCTAAAAGAGCTGGAGCCGTGTTGGTCAAACCTAGAAAATAAACAGTAAAGTTCATCGTTTCTGTAGCTTCATTAAAATTTATCCAGTGGTTTTTGGTATATTTTATTAACAGAGGCACAAACACGAGCAAAAACATTATCAGCTGCCGTTGCCTTTTAGCAACAAAAACACAGCAGTTAAGACTGACGGGATGGAAAAGTGACAGGCAGAGAACTAGAACAAGCTTTCTTGCACTCACAGACACACATTTCCTGCTCCTGCGCAGATATCAACTCACAATAGGTGTAGTTTGGCAGCTGTTTTAGGCCTCGAATGCTGGGAAAATCAGTAAAAGCAATTAGAGCAACTTTAAAACCTCTAGTGTGACCAAACTGGGACAACAGGCTTGTTGCTAAAAGGCAAAGAGGAGAGGAATATATAGAAACTGTGCTCAAGGGTGTAAATGGCTACATATTGAATTTTAAAGGAGGGAAAAACAAAAACTAGAAAAGAAATAAGGAAGAATAAAAAAGGACATATGCTTCCATTTTGTTACATAAGTAATTATTACGTGCTCTTATTGATGTAATATTATCACAAATGGGTCCTTTAAGAGAAAGGAAAGAACTGAGAGTCAAACATGATGAAGTGAGATAGGAAATCTAAGCTCTGCTCTGCTGACTCATGCAAGGCCTACAAAACAATGTAATGCTTAAATCAACTTTACTGAGAGCATTAAAGAAATCTCAGTCATTTTATCATGGATTCATTATGAGGAAGAATTTATTTTCCCCTTTATTTTTTCCATTCATTCAACCTTCACAGGTTAGTCTCATTGAGTCGCGAGAACCCATTTACATGAGAGACCTGTTTTAGACAGACGACATATAAAGTACAGACGACAATAAACTACGGTAAAATGCAATTAAAATACAAGTAGTGTTATAAAACAATAAATCAAGGTGTCATACAAAACAAAGCAAAAACACTAAAAACGAGAAGATATCTGCTTTGATGTTTCTATTGACCTTATCAAATGTTTAAAATCCCCCAAAGAAATTAAGGTGGACAGCTTCAGTTCTTGTTACAAGGCGTTCCAGGTTACAGGAGCAGAGTAAGGCGCTCTTTACACGGACATGGGCGGGGAAACGCACAGTTTTTCGGCTGTTGAGTCGAGGGAAAAAAAAATTCCTCATTTACGCGACCGCATTCAGTGTTTACATTCGGATTCAAATATTCTTTATTGTCGTTCCACCACATGTGGTACATGTGGTGGAACAAAATTATGTACACAGGGTCCCAGTTACATCCAACAATAAAATGTAAAAGAAAAACAGTAATAAGATCTAAGATATGAACTAAGAAAAACATAAGCTAAATATACACTAAGCACTAATAGCATCAATCAACCTTTATTTATACAGGTAAATCCCATTGAGCCTCGAGGACTCATTTACAAGAGAGACCTGATTTCAACAAAGAAAGATGACAACAATGGACAACAGCAACAACAATAAACAGTTATAAAAAAGCATACTACAGTTTTTTTTTTTTTTTTTTTTTTAACAAATAGGATGGCTAAAAGGAAAAGGTAACAAAACAAAAAAAACAGCTAGATTCCAAGACAAATGTAGAAAACTAACAACAGGAACATGTCAGCATTGGACCCTGCCAGGTGTCCAACAGATTCTTAAAGACACTTAGAGAGGTCAAAGTCGAGAACTTCAAATCTTTTTGTAAGATGTTCCAGGAAACAGGAGCGGAATAGGAGAAGGCCCTTTTGCCTAGTTCAGTCCTCATTGAGGGAACACTGCAGGTAATAATGTCCTGAGAGCGCACTCCGTAGCTGCACTCACGCAGAGACATGTAGGAGGAGATGTATGAAGGCAACAGACCAAGAAGTGATTTAAAGATGAAAATATACCAGTGAGAGAGTCTGCATGAAGTTAATGATGTCCAGTTAACCAGTGAATACAGTGTGCAGTGGTGGGTACGATAATCACAGCCAGTTAAAACAATACACCGAACAGCAGCACGAACATGTAACCATAGGAACACCCCCCTCCCCCGATGTCTTCATTTTCAACTTTAATAACATGCAATATGTTTCACATTATCATCAATAAAGTTTAAATCACATAACATGAATTACATAATGTCCAGATGGTTGAATTTTAGGGATGCACGATATTATCAGCATGGTATCGGACGATATTAGCGTTAAAGTTAAATATCGGACATCGGCCATTCCATCAAAATAACTCGTCGATATAGAAGACGTTGTTTTTGTATAACTCAGTGACACAGATCAGATGCCTGCAGCGAAAGACAACTTGATGACGTCACACGCGCCTACCTGATCTGATCACGGTGGAGAGGAAGAAATCAAAATGTCGGCGGTGTGGACGGGTTTTTTTTTTTCCATTCAGGATGTCAGATTCCAAAGATTTTTGAACTACATTGAACCTCGCTACATCATCCCCAGTCACAGATATTTTTCCGAAAATGCCTTACCCGAGTTACAAGCCATCATTTCCGCCGTCATTGAGAAGCTAATAGCCGATAGCACTTGGGTGAGTTTTACCACAGACATTTGGACGTCAACTGTTAGCCCCGTTAGCATGATTAGTCTTACAGCACAATGGATAGAGAAAAGTTAAAGTGCTATGCATTTGGCTGTTACTGAATATATGTCACCAGCTGTTACAGCTGTTACACATTTTTTTTAACAAATAAGCCTAAATAAGAGGACTAAGTTCTGACAAAGGAAAGTATATAAAAATATCGATATCAGTTATCAGCCAAATAAGTTTTAACATATCGGAATATCAGATATCGGCCAGTAATCCAATATCATGCATCCCTACTTCATTTAGCTCAGAAAGATTCATTACATCTCACACCACTAACAGAAACACGGTCTAATATTTTTGTTATTATTTAGCACATTTTGTGCGTTATACTCCAGCGCTACGTGTGAAATATACGCCTGCCTCGATAGCCTCGTTCAATACATAGCGATTTCGAACTCGATCCGACCGGCGTCTTTTCCCAACACAGATGTCGGTCACAGCAGCTACATTCCGGCGTAGATTAACTACGGGACCCAAAATATATTCCATCAGTCGTAGTACACAAAGCAGTGTGTTATACTCCGGCGCCATTGTTGTTGATAGAAATATGCCGTTGGTCCGCGCATGTGTGAAATATACGCCTGTAGTGCGCGTGTGCTTTTCACACTTTTCGGGGGCTTTTCACACCTCGGCAGGGGGTTTCCTTGAAACACTCTGAGACCTGGG